TCACTGTGATGAAAAAAAAACCTGACAAGAACAATTAGAGGAGGAAAAGTTTATTTGGCTCACAGATTCAGAGGTCTCAGTCCACAGACTCCATTGTTCTTGACCCAAGGTGAGGCAGAACATCATGGCAGAGGGGCATGGAGGATGAAAGCAGCTCAGGTCTTGGCAATCAGGAAGCAGAGAGAGCTCCACTCATCAGGGACAAAATATAAACCCCAAAGACATGCGCCCAGTGACCCACTTCATCCAGCCACTCCCCAACTATTTATACTTGCCACCCAGTTAATCCACATTAGTGGAGTGATGCACTGATTATATTAAAGTTCTCATAACCTAATCATTTCACCTCTAAACTTTCTTGCATTGTCTTATACATGACCTTTTGAGGGCTATCTCATATCTAAACCATAACAAATAGCCAACAAATCAACATACAGTGGAAACACTTAATAATTTTGGATTAACCTCAGAGGCCCAAGTTTACATGTTCAGTATATAATTATGTTTAGGAGATTCTATTCCAGAGATATTTTATATTGTTAAACTGCTTTAGATCTTTTCATTTATAATCCTTTGTTAACTAATTTGGTAGCATAAATAATAGCTGCAAAGCACTTTAAAAGAACCTTGAAATGAATTGTTATGTAAGTTTGCAGGGTGTGTGTGTGTCTTACAATTGTCTTCCAGTATTAGAATCCTGAGACTAAATATTTTGCTTATAATACAGGACCATATATCTTTTGCTACCCAGCACTGAATCAATGTGTAACACAGAAGCCATTTAGTAATTATTTTTCTGAATAAACAACAACATAATTACATGACAGAACTGGAATTCCAGTCCAAATTTTCTGACTATGCTTCAGTCCCTGCTGTATAGGTAGAGCAATTACTGCTACTGATGACATCTAGCTGATGTTTGTGTTAACATCTAGCTGAGGTTTGTGTTACCTGCAACAAGGGCTGAGACCTTGGAAACCGTTGAGTTCTCTTCTTTGCCTCTCTACCTATATTCTGAGAATGATATCCTTGATTCCTTGCACTTCAGGACCAACCAAGCCCCACACTTGAGAAACTAGAGATGGGGGTTAGGCAATAGTCTGCCAAGTGGTTGAGCAAGATAGTTCACTGTCATTAAGAGAGGGAAACTTATGACTTTGGTTGTAAATTATTTATTGTTTATCCTTTAAACAATTTCTATGTTGACTATATGCTGTAATGCATACACTAATTAGGAGGGTTATCTAAGTATTGTAATGCATATACATTTTAAAAGTCTCAACTACAGCTAGGTGCAGTGATGCATGCCTGTAATCCCAGTGACTCAGGAGGCTAAGGCAGGAGGATGGCAAGTTTGAGACCAACTTCA